CTGTTAATAAATTTGATTACTTAATTTTTGCCCTCTTCTCAGGCCTACCTCATCGTCGGTTTCGGCACACCACAACCGACTTGCTCCTTTTATTATCCTATGCTTAATTATGGTATTTCACACTGTACTATCTTAAGCACCTAACACAAGTATTAAGGCAATTTGCCTGCATTTGTGGGAGGTGCTGGTTTGCTACCCCTAGCCTATTTAAGGCACTCCCCTTGCCTGGCTCCTTACCGTTTGAGGTCAGCGTTGAATGACCCTCCCACCACACCACTTTTAACATTTATTTCCTTTCTATTCCTATCTTTTCCTGGGTGGGCCCTCTTCTTTCTCAGGCCTACCTCATCGTCGGTTTCGGCACACCACAACCGACTTGCTCCTTTTATCATCCTACGCTTATTCATGGTATTTCACACTGTACTATCTTAAGCACCTAACACAAATATATATATATATATATATATATATCATATTACAAACTACTAAATGCTCCCTATATACTATTAATTACTTCCTATAGTTAAAGAAACATTATGTGACATATTTGTTTAGTCCTTTGGGTGCAGCTGTGTCCAGATAATGTGTCCAGAATGCATCTCTTTAAGGGGGGAAGCTGTCTCTATCTGTCGCCTCCACGTGGAAGTGGGGGACATGGTCTATAGCCATGAAGCATAAAGTAGGTAATCTGTGTTAAGCAGATACATGTTTGGCCACGGGTTTCTCCGTTATCTGATACCTGTAAGCAGTGGTAATTCCTGACCTATGTCCTCTGACACGAACACGTACTGTCAAATCGGACTTACCAACATAGGAAAGTCCACTGGGGCAGGTAATTAAATAAATGACATGATCCGTTTTGCATGTAATATAATGTGAAATTTGTATCATTTTGCCACTGTGAGTATGTGCAAAGGAAGTTCCACTAATCATGTGGCTACATGTTAAACACTCGCTACATTTGAAGCATCCTTTTTTCCGTTGTCCTGTGTATTTCTTATAGCCATGGATTGGATCACTGCAAACCAGCATGTCGTTCAAATTTCTATTCCTTTTATAACTAATCGTGGGTCTTGAAA